CTTTATTGATGTAGCACCTTTTAAAAACAAGCATTTTGACAAATGTATACAGCACATTTTAAACAGTTATTGAGACAAAGTGCTTTACAAACTAGAAATACGACTGGCGTGACGAACTGACTTAACAAGTTTAAATGTGAAGATTAAGAACCTACAATGTTTTTAATCACACAAAATTAACCTGGTTAATTTAAATATCACGGTTATAACCCTACAATATTATATACTCGAGTAAATGACCAGACTGATTTAGATTACTAATGTGTTGTATTCACCATATAATAATCGTGTGATGTTGTGGGCACATAGCTTTTTGTACCAGGGTGAACCGGGTTGCTGGGATGCGCATGTGCACTGTTATTGTTGTGATAAAAAGCATGGCTACAAAGAGCATGGAATAAATGTCTGTCCGCCTCGTAAATACTCTACAACTAATTAGGACCCTACAAAATTATACCTGAAAAAACCCCAATGAATACAAAAATTCCCTGTGAGCAAGCATATTAGAGAGCTGGACAGGAGAAACTCCCGTTTTATGATGGAGAAACCTCCAGCAGAACCAGGCTCAGGGAGGGCAGACATCTGCCTCGACCAGTTGGGGTGTGGTTAAAGAGAAAAGGATCGCAGCAACAAACAAGAAAACACTGGACCGGTATGCAAAACGCATACGCTGCATTATTATTATCCAGGAGCTTTGAATCCTCCTCTCCCATGTGACTGTTTCGTAGTACTGATTTATTCCTGTATGACCTCATTCTTGATTGTTTTTTCACTTTATTCTTTGGCATATTTTCTGTGTATTTCTTGCTTTCGTCCTAGCTTTTCTAAATCCCTCATGCACCAAGTTCTCATTTGCAGTGTGCCAGTTCTGTCAGTCTGGAGATGTGTGCTGCTCATTGGTTGTAGATAAAGTTGGATACACCCTCTTTGTTTCAGTTTTGAAGCTCAGCGTGGTGGCTCTAGCCATCAACATCTTAACAGCTGTTTATAACTCTCAAGTAATCCAAAACTAAACATAGAGGTGGGTTGAGGCCTCTTACTCATTGTGTGCGTATACTGCTGACGGTTGCACCAGACGTATGGATGGTCAGTCTAAAAAGGAAGATGGTTTGTTCGAGAATGTCTCAATATAAGTTTGTGAAATTAGTCGATACAAAATGGTCACTTCAGAGGTGGTTGTTGGTGATCTTCAGCTCTTGTTCAACGCGACTCTTCACAAAATCGAACCGTCTCTTTATGTCATCAGTCATCAAGGTGCCGTAGTGTGTTTAACAAGTTTTAGAAACTTGTACAATAAAAGCTGTGAAAATATGAACACATTTACTACTGCCATTCTCTGAGCAACCACTCAGCTAGAAAACCTACCAGCTTTACAAACCAGACAGAATTGTATCCAGTCTCTGCGTAGAAACTGGATGACCAATAATCACCCATTTTACAAATTTGCACAGTCCTTCAGGTCAACTGTTCTGCAGATACAGAAGGAGTCTTCTTCCTGAAGGGGGCATAGACAAAAGGACCTCAGCTGCATTTAAAGCTAATGGAAACCGTTTAGACCAGAACTAAAACCAGGAGTTATATAATGAAGCTGAAATCAACCGTCTTTGCAGTATTTTGAGCTGAAAACTAAAAAGCACATTTTACTGACATGTGAGAGCTTCATTAATTTGCTACAAGAGACATAAAATGCGAACTTTAAACAAGGAGACTTTGCTGTTTTGCAAATTCTGGTATCCAAGGATGTTGTTTTTGCTGCAAGGTAGCAAACTGTAGGCTGTTGTAGGTGTATTAACTGGGAATCCGGTGGGAGATGCATTAATGCTAATGTGTTCTAGTTTTTATAGGACTGTTTTCACATGTTTTCAACAATTATTTTCACTACCGTCAGTTTACTCTGAGAACGCAAACTGCTACAGCTCCAAAGTGGAAGAAACTGACCATATTGAACCATTATATCACTCTTAAAGAAGACGTTGAGGTTGTTTTTCTTAATAAAACAAATAAAAAATGAACAACCGCTGTTCCCCCACTTTAGTAATAACAGCACAATAGGTGGTTGTCAGTGAGAATTAATTTTAACGTGAAATAGCCCAATTCATAAATCACACCTTTCTATTCCTAATTAATTACTGAAACAGTAGGTCATTTAATGAAAACAATGATTAACTCTAAGCGATGAGTCGATCCCTGTTAGACTTTCTGCTCAATCATCACATTCACTTTCATTACTAACTGTTTTGTGTGAAATACTGCATCTGTTTTTTTTTTTTCTCTCCTCCTTTTCTGTGTAATCAGAAGCAGCATGAAAAAACATGACAAAGCCTGTAAGTGGACAAACACACAGCTCTGTGTGCAGCTGAATCAGAGGAATAGAGTGTTCAAAGCAGTTTAAGCTCTGTGTAAACTGAGTGGGTGATCGAAGCTGTGGATTCGTGGCGAGGAGGGGGAGGTTTCTGCGAGTCGAAGCAGTGGGGGGGAAAAAAAAAGTCTCCTTCCTTCATTGATTTCCTCGTCTTTGTGCTGCTGTAGCGGTCACATTAGGGGCTTGTGTGTACTTGAGATTCGCTGACCTTGTAGCTTTAAGTTTATCGTGGAGCTACACGTGTCAACCATTTGTGTTCTAGTCTCAGTTTCACGTTGTTGTTACCGATCTGTAAATCTCCTCTTTCACTGGATGCAAAACCTGACCGATTATTAAATAAAATCTACTGCGTGCGCGTACAAGCGAATGCTGCGGTCATCTCCACCGACATAAATTGGAGACGAGGCTACGTAATGCTTTGTTTGGGTGTGTTGACGATGATGCCTCAGTGACCACATTCTCCTCCTTCCTGGAACAATGCCTCCATCCTCCAATAAACACTGTTTATATCTCTGTCTTCGCAGTGGTGTATATATCGCTCTATCCCCTGTCTCTCTTGTATATATCTACTTTATGCACCGAGGAGTTATGGGATTGTGCCTACACAGTGTCGGTTACCCAAGAGAGGAAAATAGGGCATTAACAGCAGCCTATTAAAACTACATTGCATTACACTGTTGGATTACTTAATAAAATCTTGCAAAGTTGTTGCAGTACACAACAGAAGTGAGTACACCCCTGTGCATTATCACCTAAATGTCAAATGCTTCGACACCGTGTCACCTTACAGTAACTGCATTGCTTCTTAATTGAGCAGTAGGTATTATGTAAAATTAAAAAATGACAGTTCAGATTTATTATAATAAAAACACACACTCCCCAATAGGAACTCAATAACACAAAAAATCTGTATATGTTTCATAACTGAGATTCAAATCTTTTATTTGTCCACTTCTTCTTATGTTCCCCTTTTTATTTTTGACAACAGACCCAATCTGCCTGAGCATGGAGGATGCTAGATGTCTAGAAAAATGTTCTTCCGTTCTTCAGAAACTATTTTTTTCAGCTCCTCTTTTGCTGCAGGGCTTGTGTTGCTCTACCATTCCCTTAAAAACACCCCGAAGGTGTTCTATTGGATTCAAGCCAGGCAACACACTTGGCCAAGCCACAGTTTTCACAGTTTTTCTTTAGAAACTCTTGTGTGATTTTGTGCTTTGGGATCAATATCGTGCTGGAATATTCCTCTTCTTCAAGCTTCTGCAGACTCGGAGTCATCTTGTCAGTCAGTGTTTTGTTATATCCACAAGCATTTATGGTGCATCTATAAAAGCCATCTCCCCAACACCTTTTTACCTCATGCGGCTCCATATCATCCCAGTTCTGTGCTTCACTGTCAGAACTACGAATTCACTGTGGTCGTCCTGGTCAGGTTCACATCAAACATGCTGGACTTCATTTGAGCTGAACATTTATCTTGGTCTCATCTGATCAAAGAATGTGCCTCTGATATTCTTCTTTTCATGCTATGCAGTGAAGTTAAATTATGTAATTTTGTGCTTAAGCATGTTTAATTTCTCGGATGCTGTCCATAGTGGTCATGTACTGTACCGTACACTGTTTGAGCTGTCACAGAAATTCAAATTTTCATTTATAACCCCTGACCAAGTCTACAGCACTTGCCTGTTTCCATTTCTGGCCTAAATTGCGCATATAGTTCACTGTCTGCGTCATCATTTTAGTCGAACGACCACTGCACCTCTGATTAGTGGTACTACAGCTCCTTCTATACCTCCTGATTACTGCTTTGTTCAACTGCTTTGTTGTTGATTACAGATCTTACTATATTCTTTTTCGTCTTTGTCAAGTCTAACAATCCCATTTTAGTTTAGTTCCTCCTGCAATTTAATTCAATGTGGAGCCATGATGAAGGCATGCAGATAGACACAGTCTATAGATCCAAGACTAAGAAGGTTCTGATGGTCTCAGCTCATTTTATAACCATGTTCATGCAGTTACGGGTGATTGGTCATCACAGGTGGACTACAGTAATCACACATTTATTCGCTTTTGTTGCATTGGATTTCTACTTTGGGACCTATATTTTCAATATAGACTTGATTGTTCATTGTTTAGAAATGATGCCATTACCGAGGTTTGATGCTAAATTTTTGAGTCATCTGACATTTAAGTGATATTTCACAGCTGTGCACTCACTCAGGTCATAACTTAAATACTTCTGCTGTGACAACAATAAAAACACAAGAAAAGAGAAAGATCAAACAGCATTTATTATCATCTTAATATAATTTATATTTAGATAAAACTAAGATTGGCTATTAAGTTATAGTTGTGCATACATTAAACAATGGATTTAGTGTATACATGCACACCTCTTGCAGGATGATCAAGTTTGCATTAAGCATGAAGATTTCTTGTCGTTTTGTGTGTAACAAAGCCTGCATGAATGCCTCTGCTATGAAGCACAAAAGTCACAGTAATTCCAGTGAAGTCTCAAGGAAAAAAAACGAATCCATAAATTGTCAGTGAACCGTCTGATTTTGCCTCCCAGGGTAGAGTTCACCTCTGAGGCCTTGTGGGTTTCCTCCTGTGTGGAGGAAAGTTTTAGTCTGTTGTTTTCTCAGCGGTCAGCGTTCATCTTCCGTAGCTTTGGTGGCAGAGTGTCCTCCAGCCTCCTCCCAGTTGAAAGAAGAGGGCTGTGCATGGGGACCGGGGCCGGGGACGGCGTGGGCGGCAGGCTCTGCTGGTACAGGTTTCCGGTGGACTGGGTCATCGGATCGAAGCCCACCTTGAAGGACTTGAGCTGCAGCCGAGTCTCGGTCTCGGGTCCGGGCGAGGAGATGAGGCGCTGCAGCTTCAGCGGCAGGTCTCCGGTGCTGCAGGCCTTCTCCGAGTGCTGGGAGGTGAGCAGGAGAACCTTCCTCTGCAGGTCCTCTTTCCCCGACGAGCTCATCCTCTGCAGTTTGCTCGGCAGTCGACCCCCGGCGCCCCCGTGGCGACCCCTTTCCTCTGAGGTGTTGATGCAGTCCACGGAAAACACCCGGTCGCGTCGGGCGCCGTGGCTCTCAGTCAGTGCGGGGGTTGGAGTGGATAAAGGCGAGGGCAGTGAGTTCTTCTCTTCGTGTTCTTTGACGCTGTACGGCGGCGTCGGTACCTCGAAGGTGCTGTGGAACTGAGAGTAGTCCACCCTGAAGAAGCCTTCCTCCAGGGACATCACCGGCAGGAAACGGTGGCCCCACAAGACCTCGTCCTCGGTGTAAGATGTACGTGCCTGGCATGTCATACCTGGAAGAGAGTGACAGGGGAGTAATAGATTTAATAGCTGCCATTAAATGAGGTTGCAGCAAAACAATTATTGGCTGATAAGGCGGAATGCGAAAGGGCAGCGCTCCCTCCTATTATCTCTGTTTCCTCTCTGCTTTATTACTTGTGAAGACGTTGTCATGCTACCTTCTGTGCAATCATCTTGTTCCATTTAGTCACATAGAAGGAATTTAAAAACGTGGCATTCTCATGGAAGCAACCGCAAAAACATTACAACCTACTACTTCATGTCTTTCTGATTTCGCTCTAATGTGCTGAAATGGAATATTACACGAGATGAAGGACAGCTTTACAAAAAAAAGTACAATCTTATGTTGTTTTTCCTTTCTGGAGTTCATGCCTCTGTAGTTTCTGTTTGCTCACTTTTTCTGCCATGAATGTAGGTGAGAGGTGAGCGACGCTCGTTATCAGCGCGGCTTGTGATAATTGCCAGTTTAAATCAAATCAACATAATTAACAATCGCCCAGCGCCATGTTCTGGCATCAATACATCGATGGCAGGAGCAAAAGGTCCTGGTCCTGGGCCTGTCATGTCGTTATTGTAACTTGTGGTTTAACAGGCATGCTGTCTTAAGAAGAAGAAAAAAATACACCATTTATCAGAGTCAGAAATTGTAAAAACTAAGAGGATTATCAGATTTTGAACTTTGTGATGGTCTTGAATTTCATCTGCCTTGAATTTCACATCTGCGATGAGCTAATCTAAACTTTACTACTGTGATATTTTCTCAAAATCACTTTATTCTGCAAATTCTATAATCAGCCAAAGTAAACTCTTTATGCTAATAAGATTCTGAAAAAAGAAAAAAGAAAATATTCTGCTCTTCATGACATAACCTGGAGGCCATTAGTGACTCAGCTGCAACCATCAGTCATGTGACAAAAATTCAGGAAAGTTTTTTTTTTAAGACTTCATATCATTATAACTGTGTAATACCTCACAAATGACATATTTAAGTCCTCTCTCCTTCTATTCATGGTGGTGGTGCTTCCATAGAGGTGCAGGACTTTATAGTGCAGTGAAAAATGAGCCCACTGTAGTAAAAATTCAACAGGAGCCAAAAAAAACCAAAAAAACACCCAGAAGCTGCTTCTGGTTGAGAGAGTTAATGACAATGTATTGAGAAGAAATGCAACAATTTTCTAGAAATACTGGTGCCTGCATGTCTGCTCAAATAATTCCAGCTTTGTTAAATACATTTTTCTTCCCTCTCCATTTGACCTCAGCTCTTGTAAAATAATTTTCTTGACATTTGGATTTTGGTTGGCGGTCCTTTGCGATCAATAAGCACTTAGGCCACATTTTTTCTGATCCAGTAACTCTGCTACAACCTGAGCTTTTCTGTTAAACACTACAGTTAGCTGAGGAGTAGGAGTCTGATCCCGTCCCTCTGAGGGATGATATGAGCAGTGTTATGTCATAGCCCGCTGCTATTCCAGGCTCACCACTCATCTTCATCCACAGAGAACCTTCAACAGTCCTACATCTACTCAAAGGTCATTTTTATCCCCAATTAGCCCAGAGGCTTAGCTTTAATTACAATACTGAGTCGGGGATCATTTTCCAGCTGTATCTTCTTCTCTTAGCAGGAGAATGATTGTATTCCTGCGGATGCATACGAAGGCAGTAAGTACCAGTGCAGTGGAAGCTGGTGGGTTTAGAGCCTGACAGGCATGCCAGTTTAGTTTCATCATCCGGGCATCATATGGGTATTCAACCAGCTGGTTAATGTTGACTGCATCTTGCATAAAAATAAAAGCCCTCAGCACAACTATGCAAACACTTGGCAGACAGCGAGCAGGGCGTCCCTGAAGAAGACTTTATGTAAAAACTCTGGCAGTAGCCTTCACTGGCACTGTTTACAGAGTGCATAATGATGATTTTCCATTTCTGTTCGACTCTATTTGCATCTGAGCTCTGTTACTGAGTGAGATTTTGAATAAAACGCTCTTAAAGAGAAGTGTGTGTCATTGGCACATTACCCAAAGTGTAACCTACAGAGTCCATATATCAGACTAAATGAAAAGGGGATTAATAAAATGAAATGCCAACAACCCAATGCTCACTGGTTTACAGTGATTTGTGCAGTGGTTTCCTCTTTTAACGCATCCTGTGCTGCTTGGTTTTTACAAAGAAATTGAAAACCAGGGCTCAAGCTTTGGGGTCGAATGTTAATCAGCCGATTATCAGATCTGATTTTGAGCATTTTTCTGAGATAAAATAGAAAGAACTCTTTATGCCAAAGGGAAGACTGATTTTCACAAAGTAATATTAATTAATTAATCCAGGTTGGGGGGGTTAAGCATTCCCTCCATAGTGTTTTATCTATTAAAATAGAGCAATCTTGGGATATATTTACAATTCTTACAATAAAAGTCTTTTCTAATTTTCAGTTCTATTAATAATTGTCATTTAGTCAAATGCTGTTTTAGATTTTATGCTTTCTTCTTCTACACTTAAATGATTTTTATGTTCAACTGGAGGAAAATGTATCAGTGTGTTTGAGTTGTGACAACTTCTGACAAAATCATGTTCAATTAACAAAGTACACTGAATTATTTACATTCTGTACTGTCTGAAATTCTCCAAGCGTGTTCAGACAGTGGAGGAGACTTGAAATCCTAGTTATGTTATGAAGAGTTATAAAGACATTTTCATTCTGTTATCTCAACACAAATTTCGTCTTAAATCAAGTAAAGCAGAATTTTCAGTTTAAAGTCCACATGATATCAAATTTATGCAATGATCAACATTATTTAGTCATCGAAAACCATCAGAATAATGTTTACAACCTACAAAGGTCATCTAACTCAGAAAATTATTGGTTGACCCCAACTTGAGTTGCATCGGTTTCCAATGATATTGATAATGATACTGTTTGGGTGCATCTCTGATTTGTGCATTGATTTTTGTGTTTGCTTGTGTTGACCACAGTCTTGATTACGTCTAATTGCCCTCAGGTTTGGACAGGACAGTGGTGCAGTAGTTAGCGCCGTCGATTTGTTTCAAGAGGGTTCGATTTGGATTTAACCCTGCTGGCCAGCATGCATGCATCCTCCCTGTGCTCGCATTGGCTTTGGCTTCATCCAAAGACATTTAAAATTGGTCATTTCGTGATGCTCAATTGACTGGAGGTGTCAATGTCAGCTGGGATAGACTCCAACCATCTATGACTCCATACAGGATAAAGCGTATCTGGCTAATGAATGTATGGATGTCCTTGAGTCTAGACTGGAACCTTTATCGATCAAGTCTTTTTTCTTTTAACATAAATGTATATGCATTTAGTCCTCGTAGGTTTTGGGTCTATTTGGATGTCACATGAGAATGACTTTTGGATGGAGAAAATCAATTTTCTCCATCTGGGGGCTGAAGTGATTGGATGGTGTCTTAGAATTGATTTGACATGAAGTTGTCAGCCTTTTGCTCAACAGAGAAGTTACATCTAAAGCCAATAAACTGATAATTGCTGCTGGTTCTTATGTAGTTTTGTTGAAGTGTTGAAGATAAAAGACGGTACTGGGTGTAGGTGTCAGTCTGTTGGGATAGACTCCAGCCCTTCGTGACTCCCTACAGGATAAAGCAGCTGTAGCTAATGGATGGATAGATCTCCTTTGGTCTATAGTGGGACCCCTATAGATGACGTCCTTTTTTTTCTTCTTTTTTTTGCATTAATCTATGTACACTTGATCGTAGTAGGTTTGGATCGTAGTCCAGTTTGGATCAAATGAGAATCGTTCGGTGTTTAGTGGAGAAAATCGTTTTCTCCATCCAAAGACCAAAGATGCTCATGTGGTCCCAACTGGACTTTTCAAATAAGGGCTGAAGTGATTGGATGATGGCTTGGAACTGATTAGACATGAAGTTGTCAGCCTTTTCCTCAACAAAGAAGTTACACTCAAACTTGATAAAAACTGATGATCTGTTGCAGTTTTTTTTTTCATGCAGTTTCGTCGCGGCATTGAAAACCGAAAACAATGCCTTTCAGACATGAACTAAAACTGACAAGTACTAGAGCCGCTGCGTGGTGATGTGTCAAGTCTGGTTGAAAAATAATTGAAATGAGACGGGGAGACAATCAACAAGCTGAGCAGCTGTGTCAGCAGCAGCTGGATGTGCCGTTAATGTGTTTGCTTTAATGGGCTGTGCGTTAGTGTGAGGCTGACAGGATATTGTGGACCATTGAAGGTGACACCGGCAGGGCTTCCCTCCTTGGCACTGCGACACTAAACTTCTGGCTGCACCCTGATTTAATGGTATTATCACCAGAGCACAGACCGTGTTGCCTGCCTGCCTCTCTGCTTCCCCGCTGATCCTCCCTCCTGCTTTAAGCCTATTCAGCTCTCTGCTTTCTCCTACAGCGGCGGCACACGAAGGGTTGTGAGGGATGGATAGAGGCAGAGCTGGAAAGAAAAGAGGGGGGATGGATTTATTTGATTCTTCCCTGAAGTCCGATACGTTCCGTTAAATATGCAGCAGAGAGAGCGGTGTTGTCGCTGAGGCTACTCCAGCATGGCTGCCTCGAAGTTTACAGCGGCAGCTTCGAGTTTTCCCTGCTCTCAGCTGTCATCTGAAAAATGGAGTGGAACTTCTACTAAAACCCACCTCATTCATCAAAGTGACACACGCATCTATGACCACAGGCTTTTATTATGCATGGAGTGGGCATAAACCGATTCTGCCGTAATAAAATATCCCTCATAATTCAATCAGGATGTCATTCTCATATGTTGTTCTTACGCTCACTTTTTTTTTTTCTCCCCAGCCCTCCAGTTCTTCAAATATTCAGGACTGGGAAGGTGTGAAAATAAGATTTCACACAGTCGAGATTACGAGTATCTATTAGACAGGTGTGTTATGTGGGTTGATATTGATATTGGAATTTACATTTAGATTGGGAGTGGGGAGAGTGAAGAAGAGAAGCAACGAGAGTGGGAAGAGATACAAAGAGCTGAGGGGGATGATGGGGAGAGATTACTCACCTGTAGTCTCCACGATGCCCTCGAGGATGACGACAATCTCAAACTGTTCGTTCATGAGAGAGCGCTGGGAGAGGTCGAAAAAGGGGCTCTTGGGATTAATTTCATGGCAAATGGTGAGCGGTGAAACCAGGAAGAGCTGGTCTGCTCCCGTCCCGAAACCAACGTCCAACTCGCACTGGTCCAGAGGCAGGAACTCGCCTTCAGGTGTCTGACGAGACTGACAGAAGAAAGGCAGGGGATGGGCGGTGACAGAGGGAGGAGCCAGGAAAGTGAGATAAAAGGTGGAAAAAGAACGCAACAAGGGGATTAGAAGGATGGTTTCCTTTTGTCGTATGTAAGTCAGATCATCAGTCTAGCAGCAGAAGAAATATTCAGATCTTTTGCTTAAGTAAGAACACTGCATTCGGTGCACTGCATGACAAATCCTGCATTCAGAATGTTACCTGAGAGAAAATCTGTAATTATGAGCAGCAACATGCACAAGGTAAAGGTATTGTTTAAAAATGGCCCCGGTGAGCAATATTATCAGGTTGTTATTACAGACGCATCAACAGTTTAATTGCCAAACGAGTTTGAAGGAAACTTTGGAAAGGCTGCACAGCGAACATAGACGGTGTGTATAAGCTGGATGTAGCCACCAGTAGGTTACTCACTAGTTTGTGGGCATTTGTGAAGTTTGAATTTTGGCTGTTGCCTTACTGTTCTTTTGAAACTAGACATAATGAGCAGAGGTGGATCTGACTAAGAACTCAGGGACACTACGCACAGTGATACAGTACCAACCTGTCAATCCCATCTATTTTACTCTAAATGGGACCGTGTTTTACAAAATGAACATTCTGTCTTGAAACTAGAGATTGAGACTATAGACTCAGTAGGAAAACTTTCAGTGAGGTAACAAATCAACTGAGAAATAAGCTCATTTACTCATAGACTTCTATACAATCTGACTTCTTTTTGCAACCAGAGAAGTCGTCCCCTGCTGGCTGGTAGAAAGAATACACCTGACGGCTGCTGCCATTTTTTAGACACAGGCTATGGGAGTGAACAAATTAGGCTCTGTAGTGTCATCAGAAGGTGTGAGTACAGTCTACATTACACATGGCTAGAAGAAGAGGCCAGGAATTCAATCTTTTTTTTTGCTTGAAAAAATTAGACTTTGGCCACCTAAGTCATCAAGAATTTTGTTGTTGTAATTGTTGCTTCATGTCAGCTGATTCTGGTCATGTTTCACGCTGTCCAGAGGCAAAGACAAAGAGCCAGAGTCATGTGAGTTACGCGTTAACTACACAAGTACTTAATCAGAAAGCATGTTTCTGTCTCCTATGAAGCATATTAACTTTGAAAAACCACCTAAAGCAAGTGTAAAAACTTCTTTTCCCTGAGATTGAGGATGTTTTTTTTCATTTTTTGCTTTTTTTTAACTTTTTTTTTCATGGAATACTTCAAAATGTGCACAAAAAAAGGCTTCATGGAAGTACGGATAGACTGTAATCTGTATTTCCATTAAGTGACTTGACATGGTGGAGCTTAGGCACCTTACATACAACTAGTCAAGTGGTTGTAAACCTTGTGGATGCTTTTTTGTTGTTGTTGTTAGCTGGATAAAGTAGGTCTTGGACACTTATCAAAATGAAAGCGCTGGAGAAGCTTCCTTAGATGAATTGCCAACTAATGGTAGACAAAAATTCATTTTTTTTTGTTAATTTATGTTTTAAAAACTTCTTTTATAAGCAGTATAAAAGTAAAGATGAGTAGAAAATATAAGTATTATCGCATTTAATAAACAAGTAAGTGTACTTATACCATTCTGTCGGTCTGAAGTTCTAAAGGTGTGATTTTCTGAAGATACATGTATATGCAGTCTTCCTGAAAAGGTTACGGAAGATGCTTTCTCTCTCCATCTAATCCCTCTTGAATATCCATCGATGTCTTGTTTCCAGACTTGGCGCTTCACATTGATTTCAAGAACAACTCGCAGGCCGACATATAAGACAGCCATGTTTGGACAGGCCTTGCCCACAGAGTGTTAACTGGTGCAGAAGCATTTAATTACCCAGATGACGCTGGAGCTCAGCACCGAGGTCCTGAATGTCTTTTCTCCTTTGCTGTTTTATTCTCTCTGCTCAATCTGTCCACCTTTCGTCTTCCCGTTTTCCCCATCAGCAGTCTGTTTTAACCTTTTGTGCATATTCTTTTAAATTTCAAGCCATTTTCTAACACGAGGCTTTCGGCTTTTTTTGAAGCTTTGATAATGAAAAATATACCAATGTGACAACTTGAAGAGGCTCATGTTACGGCTTGGTTGAGGTTAAACAGGTTACTTCTGTGCCGTTTGAGAGCAAAAACTTTCAAAGGTTGTCTTTGCAGAACATCTCATTTACAGTCATTAGTAACAAAGCAGATTGTCTTTGCAGCAAGGTTGAGATCATACACTTTCATGGTGTTAACGAACCCTATTGTTCTCTTTTACATCAAATTGCATCACAAAGGTGCTTGGCGCCTGGGAAACTTTCTTTCCAAGCCAGCAATTAACATCATAATGCCAGAAAAGTCTGTAAAGGCTTGAATTTACCCAATAATATTTCATATAAAGCAAATTTTTATACTCTTTTATCTGTTTTTTCATTGTTTTATTTGGATGCGTCACACACCAGCCACCCACCTACACACACACACACACACACACACACACACTATTCCTCCACCACACACAACTTCATAATGATCTCCCACACAGTCTCACCCCCTTCTCTACAATGCTTTCTGCCATTTCTGGAGCTTTTGTTCTTGTTGTAAATCCTAAAATAATCAACACATCATCTGCACAACGACAGTTTCCTCTTTCAGCCTTTCACCGCGGCCCAGAGTCTGATAATGAAACTTAGCAGAAGCTAATCTTTGAACTCGGCACACACGAACCGCGTGGTATTACCTAGCAAGTGACTGTTTGCTGAACCATAGTTCATTACTGGTGCTACGCCTTTAAGCTGTTGCTCAACAAATACTGCTGACAATATTTGCTTACATTTTTTATTTTCATTTTTTAAGCTGTGTTCAGACAAAAGCAGCTTCTTTTTAGTGTTTGAAGTCGATCAGTCACCAGCGGCTGACGGGAGACGTGGAGGAAACGGCGCTGCAGCGTACAGCCATTTAATCCCAGAGTCATAATTATGACAGGGATCATAATGGGGTAAAATCCGACTATTATTTTTTCTAACCGTGTGCGCCTGCTTGGCTTCCATAAGTTTTCAGCTTCAGCGTTAAGCGAGAAAAGACCTGAGAAGGATGGGAACTAGCAGATGTGTTTGGCAAATACAATGCTTTCTTACGTAACGTCGGCTGGAGCTGCTGGAGTGGAAACTTAAACCCTAAATCCAATAAGAGCAGAAAGAGCTGCTAACGTGAGCCCAAATTCTGATAGCATCCAGGAGTGACTTCCTCTCAGTGGATGATCTGGCCGTGAGCAGGATTTTTAACGTTATTTACAGCAAACAACAGAAGCGAGTAGATCCCTGTGAAAATATCAGTTCAGTGTAAAATCTTGATTGCATTACTTCCAAGTTTAACGGAAGGATATTTGCTCTTAAATATTAAAATTAACAGCTTAGATGCACTAAATTAAAAATACAGCCCACATAGGAGGAATTTAACGCAGCTAAAGTCCATCTTTGTGTGTCCACTGTTATTTTCGATGACAGACTCGGTCTTGATTGAGTGTGTTCTTGTCTTTTTTTTTTTCCCAACAAAGGTGTTGTGTTGCTCTACTTTTCTTCTTTACCGCAAAGTTTTTCTATTCGGTTCAGGTCAGGCGGTATACTGCTCCAGGTCATAGTGTTCACTTTTTCCTTCTGTAGAAACTTTTGTGTGATTTTGTGCTTTGGATTAATATCTTGCAGGAATATTCCTCTTCTCTCAAGCTCCTACAGACTGAGAGTCATCTTGTCAGACAGTATTTTGGTAAATCCACAAACATGCATGTCATCTCTCCAACACTTTTTGCACTCATTCAGCCCAACCACTGCGCTTCACTGTCTCGGCTGTGCATTCACTGTGATGGTCCTGGTTAGGTAAACACCAAGGGTGTCATATGAGCTCAACAAATTTATCTTGGTCTCATCTGCTCCTTGTATTCATCAGGCGTCTTGTCATGTTCTTTAGTAAAGTTTTATTTTACAATTTTGTGCTGAAGCACATTCAAGAGTTGACAGTCTGATCTATGATTTCTGGGTATTCAGTAAGATATTTCTACATGATCGCAAGAGTATTTGGTACCCAACAGCAACTGCCAGGACTGAAAAATGAAGGCAACACAAACATGCCAAAAACTGCAGTTCCTCAAATGACCACTCGAGGCTCCAGTCAGTCCCCATAGACCCCCATGATAAAATGTCCAACCTTACCGCAGAAATAAATACATTTGCAGCCTAATAAAAAAGGTGGCTTTGCTCTCTCAAGCTAATTTCCCAGTCTGTGACAACTGCACTGATGGGGAAATGTCATATAATTCGACTATTTAAACTGCATTAGGGCTTAAAGGTGCCTCTCCTTCCTCCGAACATGGACATTGTTGTTCTTTCAAACTGGGCCTCTTTCTCACCACAACACAGGTCACAAATGAGCTTGATTGTGTAGGAGCGTCATTTTTTTAGAGACACTGACGTACATAAATGCCTGCCAATGCACTTACAACCCTATTTGTGGTGATTCCTGCTACAGTAGATGCCTCCAAGACCATATTTTACCATTATTACATGCACACACACACATGCAGGCTGACTCACAAGGTGAAAATAATACCAGCTCGGCCATTGCGGCTGGTAATGAATTGGGTTTCAGTTTACATCTCTGGATCCGCTTTCTACCTCATTCTCCCACTCAGGCCTCTCCTGTACTGCAGCTACTCGTCAGAGCCCATTTCATCGTGACCTCCCAGTGAAATTGCCCTGCAGTCCCTCCGAGATGCAAACTGTGAATGAAGTGTGAGTAAACAGACTTTGCATTGCCAGAAAACACTGCATTTCTATTTCTATCTCCTGTGAATATCAATGAGATGCTCCTCTGGATTCGTGCTGGAGAGCGACTTTAATGTCTGGGAGGAGGAGGGGCATTGTTCACTTGTCAGGTGCTTACAGGCCGCTGAATACGTTTCAGCCATGAGGGTTATCGCATGCTAGCTTAGGGAAATTCTACTTTTCACTTTCTGTCTTTGTCGCT